ATATATATATATATATATATATGTATATATATATATATATGTATATATATATATATGTATGTATATATATATATGTATATATATATGTATATATATATATATATGTATATATATATATATGTATGTATATATATATATGTATGTATTCCGTGTGTGTGTGTGTGTGTGTGTGTTACTTGGTTGTAAGAAGACACTGGTTACCGAGTGTAACCAGTAGATCACAGTGAACCTGTAACAGTTGGTTGAGGGTGTGAACACACAGAACAGTAAACTCTACATGAAGGTAACTAAAGTATTAGTTTGTGTCTTTCTCAGAATGTGGACGTGGACAGAGAACCGGCGGAGGCTTTAGAGACGGTCCCAGACCACATCTAGAGGACGCCACAGGGAGCTGGTCTCACTTCCACCCAGAGCCTCGTGGGGAAGTGATGTAATGAAGTGATCACAGTGTTCATTGTTATCATGGTGAATGAAGTAATGAGACGTTTCTGCGATGGCGGCCATTGTAACTTCCATTGTAAATGCACTTTATAATGCAGGGCTCAGGCCACATATGTGTGATAAATGAAGGAGAGGCTTCCTTTACTGTGAAAAATGAGCTGCTGAACACTGTTCAAGTCACCTTCTCCTCTTCATCCCGTCGTTCTGTTGCCCTCCTCTTCCCCACTTGTCCTAATTGCATTAATCATTCAAGCCAGTTGTTAACTGGACCCGGCATGTCGGTGTGAGCCATCTTTGCATCATGTTATCTTGTCTCTGCATTCACAGAGGTGCATCATAAGAGAGTCCACACGACTGTGGTGTCACTCTGTTATGGTCTCAGTGGTGCAGGACGAGGAAGAGGAGGTTTCACAATGCTGAATGAGGCTCAAGGGGACAGTTTGATATTTTGAGAAATAGACTGATTCGCTTACTTTGCTGAGCGTTAGATGAGACTAAAATCTGACTAAAATCAAAAATACATATTTTTCCTCTTACCTGTCGCTCTATTTATCAATCTAGATTGTTTGGCTGTGAGTTGTTGGCGACTGAAATGGGAACAATATTGCGCTTTAATGCACCAAATACTTTGTCTCACAAGTCTCTTAACAGAAATGATGACCGGTTATTCCAGATGATCCTCAGACCTCGATGTGAGCAGTTTTCATGTCGGAACTACAGTTGAAAGAAAATAGTTCCTACATACAAACTGCTCACCACAAGGTCTGTTACCCATTTGTTTTTGTGCTTTGAGCACCAAAACCGAGTGCCATATTTACCCCCTATATGTTTAGAGAAGGCAGACATCTCTCAAACTACTGACACTAAAACAACCTCGATTGGTAAAAAGCTCTACAGGTAAGAGGAAAAACATGCATCTTTGATTTTGTGGTGAACTGTCCCTTTAAATCTGAACCGCTTCGTAAGTTTGAGTCATTTTCAGTCTGAATCACACCGTTGGGTTTCTTCTGGGTGGAGGTGCAGGTGGAGGTGTCACTTTGGTGTAAATGCTGAATGAAACTTGCAAAGTCACACCACACATCCCACAATCCTTTGGGAGGGACACTAGAGGACAATTGGAACTTTAACTGCCCAAATATACCATGATGTGCCTCACACGAGTCCAAGATACATGATGATTCTATGCACCCTCCATTCTCACACACACACACACACACACACGTGTGGCAATATGTTTTTCTAACTTTGACATGTGTCGTATTGAGGAACATGAGATCTGGTGCAATGTGTGTTTTTAAGAGGTTTACTTGGGCCTGAGGTGAAGATGTGGGAGCTCGGTTTCTTTGGGTCCAGTACTCCTGGATGTCATGAAGCTGGTCATCCAACGACTCCGTTGAGTTCATGTAAAATCAACAGAACCGTGAGGATGAAATATATTATATCACAGATTTACTCATCAAACATTTCTTTTCTTGTTGAAGCCGTTTGGACCAAAACAAGTAAATAGATTTCTGATAGTTACCTCTGATCTCGTGAGGACGTTTGTGGTAACGTCTATTATAATAGTTACACCATTTCAAGCTCCTCAGTCTGTCACACTGAGACCTTCACCAGGTGAGTTAAGTCTCTGAGGGTTCAGGGTTTAAGGGCTCAGGCCTAAATGCAGTTTAAATCACAACTTGAGAAGAATAACGAGCTGTAAAAACATGTAGGGTCCAGTCCTTCTGCTAAAGTGCTCACAAACAAACTGAAATTAAAGGCTACAGCTTTTATTATTTGATCGTGAGCTGCAGTCACACTAGTTAAATAAACTAGTGTATATTTAGTTTGTTCGGCTTTAAAACAGAAACGTGCTTTCACTGATCTGTTCTTTGTCATTTTATGAACTCAGTATTTCTGTCTCAGTTTTCTTTGTCATGATGTGATTGGTGAGTGGTTTTAGATGTGATGCTCCAGCTTCATGATACCGAGTTAAACCCAAAGACATCCGGCTAACTCTTGTTAATACACCCCCCCGGGAGCGAATAGAGAAACAATAATGAACACAATCATCTCAGGGACCTTTATTTATTTAGGTCTTTAAGGGGTACCAGCACATATTTACCATGTAAGTGAACTCGTTCACTTCCTCCCACACAATGTGACAATGGGAACAGCTCCTTTTAAAGCACACATCCAGTTGTTGTGGTAGCAAGCGTATGTAGTCGTGCTTCCTGTTTGTCTTTATGTTCGTGTACACGTCCTAAAGCCTGTGCTGTGTGACCACTGATGTCATAGATGGAGTTCAACAGCAATGAGAGAAATGAACGAAAAGTCTAATTTGTTTATTTGAAGGTTCCCCATCGCTGACGTAGAACCGGTTCTCACAGATCTTTATTTTCTGAGCCGCTACCTTCTTAAAGTCCTGGCAATAAAATAAACAATGGATACCTGAGTAATCGTGTGTGATATTGAATGTTTTTAATAAGAGACATCAAGAATTTGAGACTCAACGGACTAAAAAGGTAAAGTATGAACGTACAAATGTGCAGAATAAGCAGTAAAGAGATTTGTCTGTTGGTTCACTACGATCACATTTTATAAAATAGAAAAGGTGGCGGTGCTGCAGCTTCTCTTCCAGCATCCACACTAAATAAATAAGTAAAAGAAGGAGGATCATCTGTGGCTGCTGCTGCCGGGCTGCGTGGAGCCGGACACGGAGTGGGCTTCTCTGTACTGCTGGCTCCAGCTCTGAGGGTCCTGTTCATGGAGCTGAGACACCAGATCCTTTATCAGGTGCGAGTACTCCGTGTACTGACTGAACATCAAAGTACAATAGTAACACCGATACTTACTTGACCCATGAACTCCAGGATTTTGGTCTTTGAGACTTCCACGTCAGCACGTTGACCCCATCGAAACTCGTGCTCCACCGGCTCCGTGTGGGGGATTCGCACGTACTCCAGGTACCTACACACACACACACACACACTATATAACACACAATATATATATATATATATAACACACTGATGATAACACACACACACACACAATATAACATAATAGTAATTGTTTGGAGTCTGTGCTGGTCCAGACCGCTCTGCTGTAGTGGTCTGGATCCACCCTCCGGCTGCTCTGTGGTGTGGTATAAACCGGAGTCTATGGTCTGACAGACTCCGGCTCTGATCACACCAGTACACTGTAACACACGACCCAGCAGGGGGGCTCGAACCTGCGACCTTCTGGTCACAGACCCGCTGGCTTATAAATGAGCTATCAACCCACTATACAGCTCCAGGATCAGAACTGGTTCACACCTTCAGTGGGTGGGGAGGGGTGCACAGGTAACCTGGTTCCTTGTAAATCGTAAGGGGGGGATTATAGAAACCTGTTTACATGCACACAGGCGAAGGCCTTCTTCGTGCCACTTGAATTGAACTGTTCATTCTCACCTTTGACGCACAAACTCGTCTGTGACGACCTTCTTTACGTCTCCGAACTCCTCGTGTTTCTCTCTACAAACAGATTCAGAGTCATTGATAACCAGGTGCAGAACGCGCGCGCGCACGCACGCACACGCACACGCACACACACACGTACCCGGGGTCAACGCGGAGCTTCTTGAGCGTGTTCCAGATCAGGTCTGCAGCACAAAAACACAACCAGACATCTTCATCACACAACACAACCAGACATCTTCATCACACAACACAACCAGACATCTTCATCGGAGGGGAGAGGATGTAAACATGTGAATAGTTTAATATTTATAACACCTAGATCCCCCCCCAACATTGATAACACTTATAAAATATTAGATATTTAGATTCCATTGTTTGCCGATTTTTGTAAAAGAAATTATCAAAGAAATTCAACAGTGTCTCCAAACGTGTCAGGCTTCAGAGGGTTAATGATCCCGACCTGTAAGGAGCAATGAAGCTCTCACTCACTTTCTCTGACAACGCCTCCTTTCATAAAGATAACACTCAGGATCACGAACAGCAGACCCATCTTTGGATTGGTCGGGCTTCTACACACACATGGACAACAAAGCTGTGATGGTTCAAACTGTTCACATGAAGACTTGATTGATGCGACAGTGTTAAATTACAGAGATAACAAAAACACTCACTTGATCGGTGAGGCTCCATCACCCGGCTCCAGCTTGTTGATCAGTATGTACATGTGATTTTTGGCGTCGATTTCAATCATTTTAAGGCCAAATACCTGTTTCACACCGTGAGAAAGAGCAACATTGTGACTGAGTTTTTGTTGTAATGTGATTTTTCTTAATTATGACACTTGATCTGATTCCAGCTGCTGATCCTCTCAGACTGAACACACCTGGTCAAAAGTGCGTGAGGCTCTCTTCATGATCTCAGGGTAAATGGTTCTGTACTCCTTCACCACGTGTTTCACCAGATCTGAAAACATACATTGCACTATTTATTTAATATTTAAGGGCCCTTTAGCATCAAAACCGTTGGTCTTAGATCTCACTGACACGCTCTGTCCACCGATGGCTGATTTAAAGGTGTAGACCTGTGTCTCTCAGTGTGACAGCTGATGAACCTGTGAATGTTGTTGCACGGTGTACACGTGAGGCTGTACCTGCTCGGCGTACCGGAATCTTCTTTTGGTCCTTCACCAAGAAGTACTGCACCACCTCAGCTGTCTAACACACGGACAGAGCAAGGTGTGTGAACAATTCACTGACAAAGGAAAAGAAAATGTGCTTTTGTAATTATCTGAAATAGCGCTTTTTGCATGTGTGTGTGTCTCTCTTACCTTTTGGTCGACCTGTGCAGGTGTGAGCTTCTGCATCCCTCTTTGGACCTGGGACGTACTCGGCTGGGTGAAGGTTGTGTCGTCATTTTCCTCCTGAGCCACTGAGGCGCCCGATTGCCTCTACAGAACAATAATACATCAATAAATTGAATTGATGTGTCTAACACAACATCATGGTCACAATGTGGTAGCTGTTGGATTAACTGTTGGCTTGAATATATATGATGTTACTAATATGGCAGAGGCTCCAGCTGGTCCAGTGTGAGTACTTCCTGTTTGTTTTTGTTGAATATGACAGTTAATAGAATAACTTTAGGTCTCGGACAAAACAAGCAACTTGAAGCTGTCACATAACAGCTGTTAACATAACTAAACATGTGTTGTTGGTGTAAACTCACCTTGCTCTGAGAGGAGCTCTGTGTGTTGGACAGCCTCTTTCTCTGCGACATGGCGACACGCTGCCTGACACAGATAACAACATGAAGACGGTCAGTGTGCTTCATGAGGCCTTAAACAAACAGCAGAGTTTAGCGCGGCCAGAGGACCCAGAAGTGACGTTCATGCTAGTAACGCTAGCTAACCTGAGAGCTAAGTAGTTGTTTAAAAACAATTAAAAACTGATTCTAAATAACGTTTTACCACTCACGTCTCTGTGTCCACAGACTGCAGTAGAGTGGAGGATCCGATTATTAAACAATCGGCTCAGTCAAACTATTCATTCACATTGTTTAAATGCAGAAACTCCTCCGTTGTTTCCGTACCAACGGTCCCGCTACTGCGATCCTCGGGCGCTTGTCGATGACGCGGAATGGGGGCGACGGAATTTTTTTTTTATGTGCTTTATTGAAATGATTTATAAAACACAGTACAGTCTACATGGAACATAAAGAAATAAACAGGGCGTGAAGAAGTATTCCGATATTTTATTGAAGTAAAAGTACTAGTACCACACTGTGCAAATACTACAAAACAAGTGAAAGTTTATTACTAACAGTAGAGGAGTGTAGTAAAAAGTACAATATTTACCTCTGAGATGTAGTACGGTATAAAGTACAATATAGGCTTTAAAAATAGCATAAAATGGAAATATTTTACAATGCATTGGTACTTGTACTTTAGTTGAGTAAATGTACTTAGGCAGTGGTAGAAGAAGTTCTCAGATCTTTTGATTAAGTAAAAAATAGTATCACAATGAAAATAAAATACTCTGTAAATGAAAGTCCTGTATTTCAAATCTTACCTCAATAAAAGTACACAAATAATGGCCTGAAAATAAGTAAAACACTGAATGGCCCATTTTCTGAATAGTATATTATATTACTGGAATAAACTAATGATGTGTATTAATAATCATAATCAGCATATTTTTACTAATGTTGTCATATAGCTACATGTCGTCGAGTAAAAGCACAATATTGGTTTCCAATATGTGGAGTCGGAGTATAAAGTAGCATGGAATGGAAATACTTGAGTAAAGTAAAAGTACCTCAATATTCTCCCTAAATACAATACTCAGTGTACTAGTATCACCGCCAGATGTCGCTGTTTGTATGTTCCAATCGGTATTTCGTTAGATTACCGTCGTTTTCAGGGAGTAGAGTAAACATTTGTTGTGTATAAATACACACAGATTAGTGTACAGTTTATAAGTACAAGTACTACTTGTTTACAGGAAAACTATCTCTCGGTCAGCTCTCTGCTCTGAGGGCGAAGTCCGCAAACTGAACGTGGCAGCAGACAGACAGACAGACAGACAGTTAAAGAGACAGACAGACAGACAGTTAGAGAAGCAGACACAGTTAAAGAGACAGACAGACAGACAGACAGACAGTTATAGAAGCAGACACAGTTAAAGAGACAGACAGACAGACAGACAGACAGTTATAGAAGCAGACAGACAGTTAAAGAGACAGACAGACAGACAGACAGTTATAGAAGCAGACAGACAGTTAAAGAGACAGACAGACAGACAGACAGTTATAGAAGCAGACAGACAGTTAAA